ACCCCTGGCGGCGGCAAAAGTTCATCCAAACGACCATTCTCAGCCGCCTGGCTAAACTGAGTTAATGCAGCTACAAACGGAACCAGTTATTTTAGTTCGAAAACAAAGAGGCACTCTTGAAAAGAGAATATTTACCCATCGGTCCGACGTTCTGCGTTTCGCAGATTTGCATAAGGTCTTTCATACAGTCCACCACCTCAGATACCTGAATCGACGTGGTTAGGAAGATTCAAGAAGGCAACAGTAGATGGGCGAGCAAACCTCAAGACATCTCATTAGTTTCATTGGGATCCCATAATCATTCACAGTGGTCGTCGGCAAGCTGGTGGAATTAAGTCGGTTCAACTGATCTTCGTCGTTGTTATTGTCATTTCGGTCCTTCTCGCCTAACGCCGCCACCATTGCTCTCGGGATGAACTCAGTGTAATCGCTAGTAGTCAATTCCCAATCTTCTATCTTCATGTCCAATGTAAACATGACTCGTAAGTACCCATTAGATATGATATGAGTACCATCAGCAAAATAAGTTATCACGGAAGCCCGCGGGACTTCCACCATAAAAGCATTTTTGAAGGTATACTCTTTCGGAGTTGAAAGTGATAATTGTATCCTCGTCACACCGGATTCAAACTGAATTTGATAAAAGCGTGCAATCAATGCCGAAGGTAATTCTGGCAAAAAACAAATAACAACGGTTAGAATTATTCATTACCCCGTAATACAGCCCCATACAAACCAAAAGCTCTTGATTCTTGATAAGTCTTGTGCCAGATAGTGTATCGAAAAGCGGCTGTTTCGCTGAAGTGTTCTGATATCATTCGCTTCCAAAAGTCATAATCTTTGTTGTACTATAGTAATAAATGAAGAGCACAATGATGAGGTCAGTCAATTGATGTTAAAGATAAGAAAGTACAACGGTTCAGCCAAAAAATTCACCTCTGATGGTCCCAATAGGTCTGCAAATTGTATCAGACGAGTTATGATACCCCCAGGTGATATGTGCCTATCAACGAACGGAGAGAATATACGTTATAATGTATACAAATCATAATCAATGGTCTACCAACACAAACCTAGGTACTGGGGGCTGTTCTGCTACCGTTGGTGATGGTGCAGTTAAAGATACCGCTACTGAATGGCTAGGACTTTGGGGTGGCAATGATGGTGTTCGTTGCGGTACCCGGGGAGTTGAAGATGGGAGAGGCTGGGACTGAGATACTTGGGGAGACGGCGCAGGAGGAGGAGCAGGAACAGTTTGGGATGTCGGTGGGATTATTTGCGGTTGATTCAGTTGTGCTTGCGGTATAACGGGGGAAGGTTGTTGCATACCAACTTGAGATGCAGTACCAGTAGGTTGTGGCTGCACTGATGGATGTGATAAAGACTGTTGCATTTGTTGCTGAATCGCTTGGGCTTGCGGATGTAACGCTACATTCATCGGTAAGCCGGTTTGAGGGTGTTGAACGATCGGGTTTACCAACATAGCTTGTTGTATATGATGAAATTGAGCCGGGGTCATCAGCTGTGGATGAGCTATATTAGGGGGTCGAGGTGCTCCTTGTTGATTTGCCATAAGCGGTCTCTGCCGTAGCAGCTGTGCCATATGATTTTGCTGAATGATTTGCGCCGGTGCTTGCATGCTGAGTAGAGATTAGGTTGGGGTATTGGGATGGAATGAGGGTGAATATCGAGGGACGGCGACGACTATTGGGAGTCTAGGAGGAGGATTGCTGGATGCGGGGGATGGAAGCTGGAATGCGAGGAGTGTCTACGACATCGACATCATTGCGGACATTGCTGATGGGTGATGAGGACGTATGTATGTATGCTTTCTGCTGTATCAGCGACGAGTGACTTTTTTGCCCACCGCTGAGGAGTGTTTCTGGTGCTTCCTCTTTTCGCTTTTGAGCCACACGCCGACCGGGCTGGCTCTGCACTTATATTGGAGATGCAATCTGCACACTGCAAGACCACATCTCCCATCACAGACACAGAACTATTTAAAACTGTTGAAATCATGTTCTCTGTCCATGTTCATCTGGTATTCAACTGCTTAGTTTTTCTTCCCACTTCACTTGCTCTGCTGTGGACAATACGCGAGAGAAAATGGTTCCCTCCGCGACAACATTCATTACCCCTAATCAAGGAAAACCAACCACCTCAACCGTCTTTCACAACCAAACGAAGCTGCGATGAGTTTGCTGAGCAAGAAAGATTGCCGTCGGATTGCAATCTTCTGCTGCCGCATGAATCAAAGTCTTTATTAAAAATCAATCCGAAACGTCTCCGACGAACATCCTCAATCTTGGTGGATGAGTTGAAACCCCTGATTGATATTCGGTCAATATTTAATTTATATCTAATCTTACATTCCATTTTCTACATGGCAGAGCTTCTATTTGCGCAGATACTGACTGAATATACAAGCATGGCGATCCATCATATTATCGCGTTATCGATTTTCTACATGACATTCGTCACTCCTTCACTTTTATCATTCTCGACAATATTACCGTATTGGTTACATTCGCTTTATTGGTGTGTCGGAGGCGGCAAAGATCGCGTGAATTTGCTAATACTATACAACGCATCTTTACTTGGTGCCGCTATCGTTGGTTTGACTGTCTATGCAAGAAGACGATCTCTTCTGACTTGGGTGCTACCACTGTTGGCAATAGCAGAAATCTTTGTCAATTATTGGATATATTGTCTTCACTTCCTAGGTGATTGGTGCGTGGACACTGAACGGTTATCGGGAGAACTGGATATCATCAAGAGTGGATCAATCAGTTCCTGGGGATTAACAATCGCTGCCATGATTATTGCTACCAAAAGCATAGTTCGAGGACATGAATTGTGACAAAAACACTAGATTACTTTTTCATTTCAACCAGTAAAATATTACATCTTTGGCGTACAAAAGTTTTGTCACTTTCATCTCTCAGCCGAATAAATGCTGGTCCACTTTCTATCCCTTCCAAAACTTGGTCAAAAAATTCCCTGCACCTGCTACAAAAATAGCTCTTCTTCTACTTCATTTCTAGAATGAAGAGAACAACGACATCCCAGAATGTTTTCCTTGATTATTCACAAACGACATCATGCTTGACTGCTTCGGCCTAACGATTTGGATCTTCGAGGAATTTGTCTTCACAGATATGTTCTTGGTAAATTTGTTGCTTCGTTCATAATGAAAGTTCGATGACGAAGCTTGAGGCTTTAATGTCGGCTCAACTATGACGATATCGTTAGCACTCCCTTTTGTAGCTGTAGGGACAGCTTTCACTGGCTTTAGCTTTGCCGAGACTTCAGTATTTGTTTCAACGGATTGTACAATCGACGAATATTGATTGCTTCCGTTGTCGTGAATTCTATTTTATCGAGTGTAAACGGAATAGGCAATCCAAGTTCAATCACAGAATGCATTCAATCATGTTGATGTTGATCTTCTACCGTACCTTCCATTCATGAATTCAAAAACTTTCTTTGCTCCTTGCTTTCCCAGTGAGGGGCATTCAGACAATAGCTGGTCTTCCGAGGCATCAGCAATCGCACGTATACCTTGGGGAAGAAAAGGTGATATTAGCGAACTATAGCATTTACTGTCATGAAGGAGACGCAAACTACTTACTCCTCAAGGCTTTTATTAGAGCCATTGCTTTAACCTGGCAGGGTTTAAGTGTTGGGGGAGTTTCGTTAGATATGAAACTGTTGTATATTCGCTCAACTTTGATCAGTCGAGTTTGGTATTTTGTACGGATAAAGACATACCTCTCCGAGTCCAGGAAAACATTGTACAGATCTAACCAACGCTTCTTCCGTTGTTTTCGGTCGATTCCCATTGTTAAATGTTCCGGCGCTTACAGGCATCGGTCGTGGCGGCTTCACATCTTGAGTAACCTATAAACAGATTCCCAACGTCCAGACATCGAATAAACCAAACGTTTTATGATAAATATTAATATTAGTATCACCTCTGTCTTAGGGCAAGTGAGCGAAAGACGGATATACGATAGCAATCAATACGTACAAATCGATTCAAATAGCGGGCAATCTCTAATGGGCCCTTTACCGGAATGACATTAATACCTAATCTGGAATTGACTTCATATCGTTAACCCATCATATTGCATGCAGAATCAATTAAACAGTGATTGAATTGAAAGAAAACACACTTGACACACACCACGAACTGCAGTTTCGGAAATATCGATGAGGTGGTTGGATTTTTTTCAATCAAAAGCACCGGTTTTTCAAACTAGATACAAATCGACCAAACTATTAATAACTGTAGGTCCATTAACTCTTATGACTGCCTCGTCCTCGTTAAACAAACACAAGCAAAATTCAACCACCTAACACACCTTTTTCATGGCTTTTAAATCCATTTCCCACTCGTCCAAATTTCTCATTACGATATCTGATTCTGTTGCGATTCGGATATATGATCCTGGGGCCGGAGAAAAATCATAGTCTGTAATATTCGATTCCCATATCACACGACAATTAACTAGCCATTGAGAGTCGGAGTTGTCAGTTTTTACAGCGTTGAGAATGCAGAAACACAAGAGCAACTCAGACGAGAAATCGAGAAAATAATGAGAACAAGATACCAACGTTTCTGAAGACATATCGCAATCTGCGAATCCTTGAAGGCCTGATTACCGATGAGGTAACTTTGTCCTCTTTTCCCCATGCTACGAAAGCTCGAAGGCAAAGGCAGACGCAGAGAGCTAACCCGTTCCTTCCGTTCCTTCCCCTCGCGTCAGCTTGTGCGATGAACTGAACACAAAAAGCTGAATGAGAGGAGATGGTTCACTAGAAATCTGAATGCGAATTCCCATCAAATATTGTGTAAAGGGCATCCAGGCCAAAAAAAAGTAGACGACTCAGTGATTCAACAGCCATACGTCCGTCATGATGGTTGTACCTGTTGTTGGTTCAATAGCACTATCTTTGGAAGTTCCAATTAATTGCACAAAAGACGGACAAAAAAAGGTTGGTCCATAACAGGGTCGAACTGTTGACCTTGGCGTACCATAGAGATATCGAACTCTATATTAGCACCACGCTCTAACCAACTGAGCTAATGGACCTCTGTTCTAGAAGTGGCAATCAAAACAAATGACCGTAATATTTTCATATTTCATTGATCATGAGATTTTGTGATATAGTGAACAAAGATAACAAATTACAAAAAAATAAGTGAAACTTATGATATTTATTCTTTACATCCATCTCACTAATCGGAACAACAAATGCCGTCATTTAGGATTCTTTTTCTTTTGATTTTGTTCTTCTATACCATAAATAGCTGAAGAACAATATCAGCAAAACACCACCAATAATTCCAATTACAATAGCTGCTTGAATTTCGGCCGCTATTGGCGCACCAAAAACTTGGACAGCGTACTCCGTCGTTAATTCACAATAACTGTTTGATGGAAGAGCGGAGAACGTTATTGATGCGGTAAGTATTTTGAATGCGATTGTGATAGTAAAAATAATAGATGTAATTTACCTGAATGATTGATCTAAAACCTTGACTTTGAATATGTACAATCCATTTATGCCTGCTTCCCATTGTATTCTGTTGTCAGTTGAATGCCGCAAGATTTCATATTTTATTCTGCGATCATTGGTTTCTAAAGCTCTTGCGTCACCTGGCCCGTAACATGGGACATAATTCTATGAATTAACATGTATAGACGGTATTAGTTGATAATCCTAAAACGAAAGAAGGTAGGAGAAGGAATATGTACGGAAGATGACCACGCGTTAAATGGTTGAATATTTGGACTATTGAGGATCATCGACTTCCATGTTTGTGGCTTCTGTCGACATATCTATAAGAATAATGTAAATTTGAGCTCCAAATTTTCTCGCATTCTCATTCCGTTCGAATATGAAATAAAAAATGAAAATACTTGTTGTGCAGTAGTATTATAAGTAAATGTTGATCTTCCGTTCACCTCAAATAATATGAAATCGGCATCTACTGTTCTTACAAACTGCTTGTTATCCCACAATTCAAGGGTAGGCTTATAAAGTGATCCATAATAGGCCGGTATAGGAACACCATAGCGGGAACAATTATATTCGAGTTCCTAAAGTGGGTAAACACGTCAACGTTGAAGATTGTATCGTTTAGCCGGTCATCGCATCCTACCATTTCGGCACCAATAGCAGAATAATCTCTGTAATCAACCGCGCCGTTGGCAGGTATCTTAAATGTTTTGGGCACATCCGCAGAAGAGCAGGTTTTTCCTGTATCTGACCGCTTCACCACGATCTTTCGACCAGGAGGACAAGAAAGTCTCACGATGGAAGTCTGTTTAAACAGTTAATTTTGTCACCTCAGCGATGTGTTCACCACAACAATATCGAAAGCTCCGCACCTTCTGAATATGCGGGCATCCAAGAGAGGCCTGCTGTGGGGATAGCCGAATTGAGACTTTTCCAGGAGAGGAATAACTATTCGGTGCTATATTAAACGTTCTTTTCACCGTAGTGGAGCCGTCATCAGATATATTGGTGCTATGGTGGATAATAGAAAAGTTGACGAGGGATGACTTTGAGAGAGCGGCCTATAGGGAATGAAATTCTTTAGTCCCCTGGATTGCTGGGCTCCGATATGCAATAAATCTTACAGAGATGCCCGCTCCAATAACAGTTGCAGTGAAATTCACCGATTGCTCTACATTATAACACATTCCATTATTAGAAACTGCTGGTTTGCCAAAATTAGCACAGGACATGAACCACTACGAACCCACATCTAGATAATATTCTGACCTTAAATCAGTTGTCATATCCACCGGGCAAGTAAGATTCACCGCATTCGCGGTCGGGGCACTTTGACGATCATAGTTAAGTTATAAAGCTTGGTTATACGGAATTAAACATTTCATACACACAAAGGGCTTGACAATTGATTTACTACAGGAATGAAGCGTTGTCTGTAAAACGGAGGCGACGCAATTGGCTGTATGATACTTAATCGATTGAGTGCATCGAACGTGATGGCGGCAACTGTTTCGACGTTAGTACCGACAGTATAATCCGTTTATGACGCTGCTTGTTTACCTTCAGTCTGGTTCAAACCTCCGATTAATTCAATCGCCTCGAAGTGTCCGAATTTGCCGTAAAATATCCTATTGACGGCATTAGGATTATAGCAAAAATTCAGTAATTCAAAAGGGAATGCACCTATTAAGGGACGTAAGGAGGGCATAACTGCCATCTGCACTGGTTGCGACTTCCAATATTGTTTCGGTATTGCCCAAACCAGATGCTGGTCTAGCTGGATCGCGTGATTTTAAAGTGATGTCGAGAGCAACTAGTCCGCCAATCGGTCTATATGTTGAGGAGAGGCTAGTCAGAAAAACTTTGAGTTGACCGCCTGAGAAAGTGGACTACTCACAAATATGCTAAGGAACCACCCCATGCAAGCAATTCCCCTGTTCCTTGGCCTGACTCTGTTAAACCCAAAACCGGATTCTGTACAATAAAACTTTACTCAAAAGCTACTCTTATCATTTCTTATAATGCATCAATCGTTTACCTTTGAGCCATCGTCTAACGGTGCAGTTGAGCCACCGACCAAAGGGAAGGAAACGCCATCTTTCAGCTCCCTATCGAATATATCGAAAACTACGACTTTATCAAGCCCCCCATTATCTCGTACCAAGATCGCAATACTATCGAACACACTCTGGACAGCGACATCATGGATGAATCCAGCATTTCCAAGCGTGAGTGAGATTCTTTGATACGGATCTGTTCCGTTTTCGGAGTAGTAAAGAGTAGATTCCCCAGGGGATTTAATCCACGCGAAGACATAGCCATTCATACGCTGACGGTAATACTGGTTGTCTGTAATATCACAGAATGATGTCCCTTTTATATGAGTAATATTACTTGGAAGACTTGTCACAGTTGAAACTGTATTCAAGTCCGTGAAGTAGACTCCGGAAGATGTGGCGAATAGGGTTCCATTCAATGTTGGAACGATTTTTTTAATGTCGTTTTGCGTTCCTCCTAGTAAATTTCCTAATGTGTACAAACCCGTGTTGAAAAAGCTGTTTTGAGTGAACATGTACTTTGATGATCCATATAACGTCGAACTTAGAAATTTGACATTTCGGCTACAAGCGTCGTGATAGACGTGGAAAGATGATGAATTGCTGATCTGAGTCGCTGAGAGTGAAGGGCTCACGGCTTCGAATGACGAGTACTTTATGATAGATGTAGAATGATGGGATGAAGTTGCGCCACAGCCAAGAACGGCGATGCTTTGGCCCGTTAGCTCAAATGCTACTTCCGATGGATAATTTGTGTCATACTCGACAACCCAAGCGCTAAGTGTATCGTATATGTTAAAAAGTTATTCTTAAGAAATGCAATATCGATTTGGGTATACTCACTTTAATGACGTGTTGAATTGAATACTGGAAATTTCCAAGGTGTCCTTTGAAGTAAACTTGAATGCAGGTGCTTCGCCGGCGTGGTACAACATGGAGGTTATTTGTGACGACACCTAATTCAAAAGTAAGTATCGGCCCAATAATTATCCATTTGAGATAGCATTTATACAAACCCGAGATGGTATGGTCGCATTTCTTGAAAGTTCCTGAGGACTAGCCGTTTGCGGGTCAATTATCCATATCAATCCTACCAGTCCAGCAGTTTTCTGAGGCGACGCATGTAACGTTGCGGAAGGCTGTATCGTGGATGTGTTGGTGCCTGCGGTTACCCAATACCACCAATAACATCCTTGTGATGGTTGGACGTTGATGTAGAACGTGTCTGTTGTGCCGATATCTCCATCGCGATAAACTTCAAACTTCTGAGATCCACTTGATTTACATGTCACCGATAATTGTGAGTTCGTTGGTTCGGAAATTTTAGTGGCTGAAGTGTAAGAACATGATGGTGGCATCGACCACGTAACATTAGTTGTTGCAGTGGCATAAGCAAGCCGAAACTAAACAGGTGGATGGCAGATTAATGAGTATGAGTAGGGAGACACATGATTCACAGAAAGAAAATGAATGCTTCGATTCGTCATATGAGTTACTTACGGATCTACTAATATAAATATCACCGTCATTCTCAAGGCTTTGGTAATAAAACCTTCCATTGTTAAATGCTTCCGGCAGGGCGTTGGCGACAAAGGCAACGTTTAAGACGAACAATAAGACCAATGGCCTGGTCAAGGAAACTCCCCATAAAGGATGATATATTGTAGACGACATGTAGAGATATTAGAGAATTTAGACGATCTACATGTAAATCATTGTTTCCATTTAGTGCGTTAGTATCTGTGGGACCCGTCAGTTCCCCGTTCGCGTACGGACGACCGCAACACCAACATAGCCCATTTATCCAAATTTCCAGGAAAGCTTCGGAGTTACGAATCAGTACAGAGATTCTGTGTACATTTAACTGGTATTATTCAGCTTCATGTTGTTATAAAGACCAGTAAATTGTCGTAGAGCTCGAGGTCTGTCCAGACACTTTCATTTAAAATGATGAGGTAACATAAGAATGAAGGACTGAAATATTATTCTTGATATATTCAATTTATCACATAACTACTAACCGACATATTCCTCAATTGTAGGGGGATCTAATAAAAAATAGTTTGACGTCGCATTTCCATACAGACACGTACGCAAGTTGGTGAGGAATGCACCCACGATATAATACTTCCCAACTGGCTGCAACAAGATTTTGTGATTCACACTAGAATCCAGGAATTTCCAAATACCAATCACTTTGTCAAATTCACACTCTACATTCTCTCGTATAGTGCATATATCTTTGTTTAAACATTCCTGCTTTTCGGTCAAAGACTCTCCACGGAAAGGAGCAATGACATACTCGTTGCCTTCGTAAGCCGAATCAGTATAAACCACAAATTTATCTTCATAATGACTACTCCCCAACTGACTCAATCGATCTACCAATTCGCTTTCTTTCAGAATAGTAGCGTCATCAGTTGTTCCGTCCCAAGGTCCTGATAAGTCGGCAATCAATCCATCTGGGGTGACGATACTCTGGTACTTCAGGCCGTGTTGATGTTCCTGCTTGT